TAGCTGATTTTGTAGGTGAGCGTATCCTTACATAAAAATAAAGCAAAATGCCTTTGTGTAAAACAAAAAGATGCCAGGAAACGGTATCTAAACAAACATATTTTTTTTAAAAAAAATTAACCTCAATCACTAGAAATAACATGTACGTAAATATACTTGGAAACTTGGTATAGGCATTTTAGTCAACTGCCTAAATAGAAAACTAGATTTTTTAAAAGAAGTGGGAGGTGGTGTCAGGGTATGCAACAAAGAAACCAGTGTAAAAAATGCAATTTTTGCAGGGGTTTTTATATATATATATAGAAAGCATCAACATGAGTCCTAAAGGTATTCAGATATTCAGTACAATCACTTAATATTTAGCCGTGACATTAGAAGTACATACGTTACTTTTGCTTCTTTCTTGTGGCTGTAAAGTGCAAAACAAGACAAAGGCAAGTTTGTAAAGATGGCGAGTCTTTTTAACACAAATTCCCCCCTCTTTGAAATATTACACTCCACATTACCTTTTTGTGCACTTTTTATCACTTTCCTTCAGTTCATGCCAAATTTTTTCTGGAAGGGATTTGCTAGATAGATAGTATCTGGAATTCATTAAGGATTTTCTAAAGTACTGTCAATGAGGTTCTTTGCATGCTACTGTTTTCATAATTAATAATTTATCATACCAAAAATCTGCAACTGCAGTCCAATGAATTGTAAGTTGTAGTACATGGATTAGCTATAAACTAACTGCAAACACTAGTAGAACATTATTTAATGCAGAGAAATACAAAGGTCAGAAGTAAGTCGAACTACGTCCAGTGAGGCTTACTCCCTATTAAGCATGTCTACGATTACAGTTTAAAGCCAGAAAATTGATACCAACTGTGCAACTTTCAGTAACAGGTTGGAGGAAGAACAGAGAAAGAAAAATAGCAAGCACTCACCGCAGTAACCTTGCAACTGAGTTACCTTTCAAAAGTTACAAGCCCATTTAAATAACAATAACAATATGAGAATTTAAAAGCTGTTTCTTGAAATAAGTCACTGTTCTTAAATTAATACAAGCTAAGCTCAGCTGTTTTGGGATTACAAAATTACAAACAAACAAAAGAAAACCAAAAGGGGCAAAATTTCCTGAAACTTATTTTAGACATTTGTCTTGGGATAACTTCAAAGAAATAAACACATGAAAAGGTTTTTTTGGGCTTCCGCGCTCTGCCTTAATGAAGGCAGCCCCCATGACATCAGGATATTGTTGTTGGCAAAGGAAAAACAAGGATGATTATGGGTAATCATCCTTGCAAATTCTGCCCAGGGATGGGGGGATTGGGCTTCACTTGCCGTTCGTCTCGGTACCTGGCTCTCGCTCTGGCATGGAATGCGGGGGGCAGGGAGGCGGTGAGAACAAAAGCACTTTGCCTGCAGAAAACCCTCTAATGTCTTTATTATTTACAAAGTGAACTGAATAACGCTAAGAGGGCTAGGAATTTAATTGGACGTATAGTTGCTCATATATCTTCAGTTGGAAGGAAGGGTGAAAGGAGTCTGCAAACTGCCAAGGAACTGATAAGGTTCTTTATTGAATCATCTGCAGTTCGACAGACCACTCTTCTTCCCAGGCTGAGAGGAAAAATGGTGACAACAGTTTATTTACTGGGACAGAGCAACTTTTGCAGCAGTTGTTAAAGCTCTTGGTGCAAAACAATGAAGCACGGGATGGAGGGATGCAGAAATTTATGGAACAACAATGGGATATCAGCTCCGTCCAAGGCATGATGGATAACAGCAACCATTGGGGAAAAGAAAGACATAGTATCTTACAAGGACAGGAAGAAGAACCACGGACAGAATAGCTGCCATACACAGGAAGAACAAGGATATAGTTTTGAGTTCCTCACTTACAGTTTTATAAATCATTTAATGTGTCAACACAAATAGAAGTTATTAATATTACAGTTGTTGTATAAGGGATTAGTATTACGACTGGAATGTTACTGAAACTAATAAGAGTTTGGAATGCAGAAATAAAGAAAATCATCAAATTTAGCATGCGGAGGGCCACTTTATCTAAATTATATAATTTGGTATTTGAAGGATTGGTATTAATAATTGTATTATAAATTGGTATTGTTATAATGAGGCTATTATTGGACTGTAATTGAAAACGAATAAATAACAAAGGACTACTCAAAGGGCACAAAAACCTGCTGACTGAGCCATGTTAATTCACCAGACCTTAATTATTAATCAGACACAAGTAGAAGGATAGAAACAGCAAGGCTCTCTTGTTAAAGAAGCCAGAGATGTCTGGCACCTTGGTGATTAATGAGAGTTTCCATCAGGTAGTCAGGGAGCAATTTCTAATCACAAAGTGTAGCCTATTGATTATAATCCTGCACTACAGCTTAATTTCTTACTGGGGTGAGGATTCTATTTTGTCATGCTGATTAATAAGTAAAGGATACTCTTCTTCCAACAACATCTTCTCAATGGCAGTCCTGTTTTCTTCACTAATTGTGCTATCAAGACTCCATGGCTAGGAGAAAAACATAAGTTATGGAACACTTGTTTTATATATTAATTCCAACCCCAACCCCAGAAAAGAGGCTAATACTTCTCATTTTCAGATGCAGAGCTGAACTGAAGAAGTAAATTTTCAAAATCTTCCAGGGAATTGGTGGCAAATAATAAATTTAAAAGATCTCTCAAGTGCACCACAGAAATCTCAAGTGCACCAAAAATCCAATACCTTTCTTAAAAACTATGATAAAAGAACATGGAAAAGAATTACAATAAGCACATTGTAAAGAACACAGGCATGACACCTCTTTATATTTCATGGCTGAAATCTGGAGGTCCCTTGTCATGTACAGATCAGCAATACCCCTTGTGCAAACACTTGAAGATCTGTGTATAGAAAATCCAGGTTCCAATCAGCTGTTTTACACAGCTAGCTGGGAACACAGATCGTTCAAACACTTCAGTATGTTTCCATGGAAAAGCACAAGTTGTATTTTTATTATGCCCTTCGAATCCCAACTTATTTTTTGAAGTGATTATGATAGAAAGACCTCTTAAGATGTCTTCAAAAAGATGGTCATTCTCTCAGTTAACAGCCCATTTCATAGGACACTTACAAGACCCATATCAGTTCGCCAAGTTGAATCAAGGTAATGATCTTGGAGTAAGCTGGATGAAGGATTTTCATAGCTTCTGAAATGAAATAAAAAAGCCATATACTTTAAAAACTGATCCTCTCAGAAGCTGAAGTTCTACTAGCATTTTAATGCTTGGTAAATGTCACATGTTGCAATGCTTCAAAGCCTTGCACCCAATCCTATACTCCCCTTTTGCTAGTACAAGAAATATTAAATTTGAGGTGTAAAACGTTTAAGCAAAGGCAATTTTAAAGCTATTATATGATGTATCCATATGATGCTTTACCTCACAATTCTCACAAGTAGGAAATCAAATCCTGAGACTCAGGAAGTGATTTATTTTTTTAAGTCCTTCCTTTGTCAAATATATGGGAGGGAAAGTGATCTACATTAGAGGAACTAATGTAGAAAGTTCATACTTATTCTTGTGGCACCTGCACTACAGACAGATCCATCTAAACTGAAAGGAAGGATACTGATTTAAATGTTTTTGACAGTGCTGTGACTATGCATTGGTGTGTGTCAAAATTAGGAAGGAATTAATCTAAGTCAGCAGTGGCTAACCCACACTGAAACCCTAACTGACATTGCATTTCATATTCCTCTGATCTTGCTGCTTTAGAAGCCCCCCTCCCATGAAGTATGCATGCAAGCAACTGATGGCACTCAATGCATCTAATGAAGTGAGACTGAAGTCCGTAAGAACTTGTGCTATAATAAATCGATTAAATGTCTTCAAGGTGTCAGAACTCTTGTTTCATTTCTCCTCCAGAAGATTTCCAGGAGAGAAAACCCCCCACCAGCTGTTAGGTAGGTCAGGTCAGAAATTACTCCTGTGGAGCTCATTCATGTCATTCTCCTGGACCACCTACACGCTGTTGAGGGGAACATCACAGACCCTACAAGTGTCCCTATTTTCCAGGGACGGTCCTGGAATTACAGAAACCGTCCCGGTTTCTGATTTGATCCCAGAATATCTCGCTTTTCCTTAGAACATCCTTGTTTTAACTGGAGAAATGTCGGGAGGGCCTGGAATAGGATGTCCCTACCTTAACTGGAGAAATGTTGGAGGATCTGGTATAGGGTGTCCCTATTTTAACGGGAGAAATATCGGGAGGGCATGGAATAGGATGCCCCTATTATAACCGGAGAAATGTCGGGAGGGTATGACACTTCCTCGCGTGAGGGTGCCAAGCGGACCACTGTCTGTCTTGCCTCCAGACGAACGGGGAGGCATGCCTTGCTCTGGTAGCATTCACACGAGGAAGACACTCGGGTGTAGGATACACGTTCTCTTCCTCCTTTAGGCTGACTTAAGGGCCGCGGCTGTGAGGCCAGAGCGAGATCTGAGCACTTCCATAAAGATGCGGGAGGGGAAAGAAACCTCCCTCCCACCGCGAAAGGCCCCTGCCAGGCGCTGAGGCGACAGAGACCCCCGGTAAGAGCCATGGCCCGCCTGAGGCAGCCGCCGCCAACGAAGGGGCTGCCGTTGGGAGCCTGGCATGAAGCGCGCGGGGCCCGGGCTGAAGGCCCGAAGCCTGCCTCCCCCCGCACTCACCCCGCCTCCGCTTCCCCGGCGCCCCCCGCCGTTGCGTCCCCCTCGACGTCCACGTCGAGCTCCTCCACGGCCTCCATGCCGACACCCGCCCGCCGACGCCGCAGCCGCCGACACCGGAAGTCGCGGGAACAAAACAGGAAACGGGGGGTCCAAGGCCGGCCCAGGGAATGCGGTTCAACCATAGAGAGTTGTGAGCATGCGCCGCACGAAGCTGCGAAGCTGCGGGCGCCCTTCCTTTTGCCCTCAAGCTCTAACGGGGAATCGGCGGGCTTGGCGGGGGGGTGCGGGGGTGCGCGCGGTGGGAATAGGAAGAGAGCTTGGTAGGAAGCGGACCGCGATGGGAAAAGAGAAGAAGCAGGGTAGGAAGAATAGAATAGGGTATGTTCTTGTCTCTATACACACAAACACATAGTTGAATGACAAGGGGAAGCTTCCAAAATGAAAACGTAAAAGCGCAACGTAACCAAACAAAAAGCAGAATTTTGCCGGGAAAGTGGGAGTCCTCGGGAAGAAATTAAAACGGGATAAAATGACCTCTTCTGGTTGCAAGCCATGGGTGGTGATCAAAAGCAAAGGATAGAAGTTGAAGGAGAGCTCTCGGGAGAAAAGTAACATTCCGGTCCTACTTAGAATTCGGTTAAAAATATGTCTGTCACACGCCAGTAGCCACTGCCTATGTTAGATTACAATGGTACCTCGGGTTAAATACGCTTCAGGTTAAATACGCTTCAGGTTACAGACTCCACTTACCCAGAAATATTACCTCGGGTTAAGAACTTTGCTTCAGGATGAGAACAGAAATCGCGCGGCAGCAGCGGGAGGCCCCATTAGCTAAAGTGGTACCTCAGGCTAAGAATGGTTTCAGGTTAAGAACAGACCTCCGGAACGAATTACTACTGTAAGTTCTTAACGCGAGGTACCACTGTATTGCCCTATTGCTCAAGTATAGGAGATTTGTAAAATGCACGCATTTCGCAGATCCTTAACGATAATTTTCATATTTACGACTAAAGAGAGGACTGAAATCATAAATGTGGGAGTATCTTTTCAGATTATTAACTATAAAGTTGTCGAGGCACCAAGAATTGTGTCAGAACAGACAGCAGGTCAGCTGCCTTAAATGGTGTCAGCATGACTCAGCTTTATCCTGATGTAAGCCTCTTCTGAGCTTGTTGAAGGAATAATGGGACCCAAATTCCATAAATAAACAATATAGCAGGAAGAACAGGTACAACCATCAAGTACAAATTTGGTTTTATCTTTTTTTGTAAATTGCTTTGAAGGTTTTTGTTTTTACAATCAAGCAGTGTACTGTAGAAATTTTATGAAATAAGTAATACGGTGTTTCTCCACCCTTGCTTTGTTCAGACTTCTGCCATTGCTTAAAATAGTCACTTTCCCCCTTTCAGAGCCCCCACCTCTTCACTTACTTTCCTTCTTCCATTCCTCATCTACCCTATATGAGAGAGTTAATGGATGTGGATCCCACAAATTTTTCATAGTATGTTCCCATAGAGTGCTTCACTCCTACCATGTATTGCCTTCAACATAAAGTTCCAGATTCAATGCAGTAATTCAGATTTTTTATTATCAAGCAAACACCCATATATAAACAACAACCATAAACTTAACCGTCTCTAACTGAACAAGCTAACTGACATACTTTCTCTTAAAATTTTATTTGTTTTAAAGATAAAGTAAAGGTAAAAGGACCCCTGACCATTAAGTCCAATCGCGGGCGACTCTGGGGTTGCGGCGCTCATCTCGCTTTATTGGCCGAGGGAGCCAGCGTACAGCTTCTGGGTCATGTGGCCAGCATGACTAAGCCACTTCTGGCGAACCAGAGCAGCACACGGAAACACCATTTACCTTCCCGCCGGTGCGGTACCTATTTATCTGCTTGTACTTTGACAAGCTTTCGAACTGCTAGGTTGGCAGGAGCTGGGACCGAGGAATGGGAGCTCACACCGTAGCGGGGATTTGAACTGCCGACCTTCTGATCAGCAAGTCCTAGGCTCTGTGGTTTAACCCACAGCACTGCCCACGTCCCAATCAAGTAAAACAATATAAATACTTAACTAACTGACCAATCACGTCAGTTCTGCCCCTCCAACAATGCCCTACCCTCCCTAACAAAAATCTTGGCTACACCCATGGGCAGAACCCTCTTAGTACAGTAATATCTGTAATCCCAACCACACCCCGAAAAGGTTATGTCCAAAGCAGCTAATATCAATTGTAATAAAACAGCACACAACAATAAAACACCCAAACAAATCAGGAACAATAAGAGATAGGCAGGCAATCTTAAACTAAAAACTAAATGCTAAGTGGTAATCCAACTGAATAATTTTGAAGAGCAAACCAAAACAACACTGGCAAGGAGGGAGATAGCTTAGTCCCTCCATGGAATGGCATTCCATGTGCTGGGTGCCATTACAGGAAAAGGTTAACCTTTCCATGACTGCCTAGTACCTGTAGGCAGCATGGAATTGCATGCAGGCAAGTGAGTAGGCTTGAGGAGAAGGAGGGATGAGGGCCCCATTCCTCCTCTGTGCTCAGAATAGAAACCAAGCGTGCTGGCAGGTGAGGGAAGCCCTGCCTCTGTAGGAATGCAGAGAGGCTTGCTTCAGGAGGAATGAAACACTTCTGTCAACCGCCTCCAGTGGACGGACTAGTTGTTTTCTTAAGGCTAGGGCCTTTTGTGGGCTTGTTTATAGGAACCCTCCCTCCTTTAAGATTTTGATTTAAAATAATAATAATCAAGAGATCCAACCACTGATTTCCTGCATTGACCCTGAAATAGGGGGGCCCAGACACAGGTGAGAACAAGGCACTAGACAGCAGTAAGAAACAACTTGTGCTTCTTACGTAGATTCTTCTTAGCACATTTATCTTATCAATAACATTTTCTTTTTCAAAAGAGTAACAATTTGAGCCTGGCTTTCAGTTGGGCTGGATTCTGCTACTTGAAGTGGAGTCTTCTTCAGGCTATTGGTGGCCTGTAGATTTGCTTTACCCCCCTGAGACCAGCTGACCAGTGTGCTCACACAATTAAAATGACCGGCTCTGCAAGCACAATGCAATGGTGTGTCCTTATTGTTGTCCAGAGCATTAATGGCTGAACCGTTGCTCAAGAAGAAATGTATTAGGTCGCTGTGTCCGTGTTCTGCTGCAAGATGTAGTGGCGTCTTCCTCCAAATATTTTTGTCATCGATATTTTTATTCTTGCCAGCAGCCAGAAGGGCCTGTAGTATCTCCACATTCCCATTGATGGCGGCATAGTGCATAGATGTGCATCCGTCCATGTCTTTGGCACCAAACCTGGACTTCTTCGCTAACAGCGCTTTCACTGCGTTAAGATGACCTCCCATGGCTGCAAGATGAAGCGGGGTCTTTTTCTCCTTGTCTGTTGCATTGGAGTCAGCATTGAAGTTCAGCAGCAGTTCTACCATAGCAGGGTTTCCTGCTTCAGCAGCAAGATGCAGAGCTGTCTTTGCCTGCTTATCCTTAACGTTGACATTAGCCTTTCGCCGCAGCAGCTTTTGCGCAACTTCCACATGGCCCTTATAACTTGCAACGTGCAAGGGAGTGAGCAGTTCTTTAGTGACCGAATCAGTTTTCGCACCTCCGTCAATTAATAAGTCAACTAGCCCTCCCTTATTGTGCAATGCGGCCACGTGGAGGGGGGTCTGATCTCCCTGGCCGGCAATGTTGGCATCTAATCCTTTGCTCAGGAGCATCTTTGCAATGGAGGAGGCTCCAGCTTGTACTGCCAGATGTAAAGCACTGCTTGAGTCTGGGGTCTTCTCCGTCAGGCTCGCTCCCTTTTCAATGAGAACTTTTGCTGACTCTGTCTTGACCATCTCACACGCCACAAGCAGTGGTGTGTACTGCGCTTCGTCGAGGGCGTTTTTGTCGGCACCTTTATCAATTAAAGCTGCTACGATGCCATGCAGGTCCTTTTGAATGGCTTTAAAGAGAGCTGACACCATCGTAGCCGGCGACATGCCTTTGGAATAGTCCAGCAATAACTTGAAGAGAGATTGACTGTTTCTGTTAAAGGCTACATCAATGATGCTGGAATCAATGTTGGCTCCAGCTTCCAGGAGAACCTGGACAGTCTTCTCAAACCCTCGAGACACGGCATAGCCCAAAGCAGTCTGTCCTCTCTCATCCTTGGCATCCTTCAAAGCACCATTCTTTAGGATGGCTTGCACCAGCTCACTGTCATCTCTGAGAGCAGCCATGTGCAGGAAGTTGTGTTGGTTCTTGTGTCGCCTCACCTCTTCTTTCAGGATGCTCTTCAGAACATGGGTGTGGTGGTTCTGATGGGCCAAATGAAGTGGGCTCTTGCCTTCTTGATCCAAGGTGTACATGTTGGCACCCAACTGGAGCAGCATTTTCACAGCTTCGCCGTGACCTCTCTCAGCAGCTCTGTGTAGCGGGGTTCTTCCTTTCTTATCCTTAACTTCCAGCTTAGCCCCTCTGCCGATTAGATAGTCAATTATTTCTGTATGCCCGTGAGCCGCTGCAATGTGTAGGAGGGTTTCATCTTCAGAGTTTACTGCGTTAATATCATTCTCTTTTAAGATCTTTTCTAAATAGGAAAGATTACCTTTAGCCGCAGAATCAAAGACGGAAAGAGAATTGAAAGAATTGTCTTGGGATTTCACAGCAGCTGAATCCTTTTTTACTTTACGTTTGATCTGAGTCAGCTTTTCTGGCTTAGCTAAAACCTGTCTGGGGCTATCCTTCTTTTCTTGGTGAGGATCTTTACCCTTTTGAACCCACCCTTTATCTTTCTCCAGTAGATACCCTATCAGTTGCCTTCTGGCATCACCAATTCTTTCATTCACATTGCTGACATAACTCCTCATGTTGTTATATAGCTGTGGCTCAATCTGTTTCAGACATGGATAAAAAAAGAGCCTGCAAGCTCGCTCACCTTGAGAAACCAATATATCCAGGACCCGGGAGTTCTTTGCAGTTCTTGTTCTGTAGTAGGATAAGACCATTTTTTTCTCCGGTGTAAAAATGCCATGTTCTATCAGCCAGTTCAGAAGCTGATCAGGGTTCCTTATGCCATCTACAAGTTCGTTCTTTTTCTTTCTCAGTACTTCTGTGGCATAGGGATTTGTGAACATGCCAGCTGAATACATGATGTGTTTAGATTATGCACCCGCAATACATTAAACATGCCTTTGAAGTTTGGCATTTAGCATGAGAAAGTGCAGATTGTTACATAAGTTTGCTCCAGTTTCTGCCAACAAATATTCTGGTGGTCCAACTGGAAATCTCAGCGACAACCACACACACAGGGGGGAAAGGGAGAGCATAAACTTTTCACCTCTCGTTGTGCAACGCTGTTGCCTTCC